CAAAATCTGAGCAAAGGCTAGTACATCAAGAGAAGTAACACTGAAGACAAGATAAATTTGGATGCTGTGCTTGGAGTATATCTATTGCAAGGTAAGATCCAGTTAGATGTGCTTATTGATGGCTTTGGATGTTTTCATTATGGAGTTTAGCAGCAGTGTGAACTATAAAAAAAGATGTGTTTCTATGTTCAGAACTCTGTCAGAATAACTAATACTTGTTTGGGTCTTATGCTAGAATAACTAATACTTGTTCAGGTCTTTTGTCAGGATAACTAATACATGCCCAGATCTCTTGCCAGAATAACTAATACTCATTCTGGTCTCTTGTCAGGATAACTAATACTCGTCCAGGTCTCTTTAAAGTAAACCTCTCAGAGTCTTTTGTACCCATTTTTACAGCTGACCTAGGTATCACTATAGCAGAACCAACACTTGCGGTTAGGGCTAATCATTAAACCGCTATGCTCTTGTAGAGTTCACTTAGACCCTAACATCTACTTCACAGCATAACCCTAGTACTTTAGTATACTTCTGCCTTTTGTTTAGCCTTTTTACCAAACTCTCAATTCAGATAGCCTGTGCAGAACTACAACCAGTCCATCGGTATATCAGGTCAGCCCGATATCCTTTTTCTTCAGTTTGTTCCAGTGGCCTAGTTAGTAGTACCTCTGAGCCTCCCAACCCAGAGGTTCTTGCCTATCTAGCTGCTATGACTGGGTACTACAACCTTGGTATCCATTTCCTAGGTTAGCCTTTACAGTAGAGCCATCAAAGATCCAGCTACCTCTCTACTTGGGTTTTCCCAAATGGACTTCTTGTTACCTAATTTCAATGGATTTACACAGCCACAAGGACTTATTTAGTGTTTGTACTATCTGATTTGTCAGTTTGCATTTCTCTGTATAACACCATACTTACACAGATGCCCCATGACCTGCCAGTTATGCTGGTGTGACTGTCATTACAGGTATTCTAACCTAATCATTAGTAACAGTTGCTATAATACGAATATTATATAGGTAATTATTCAAATTTTTATCATCGATAGGATTTAAACATCCAACCTACCACTTGGAGGGTTGACAACCTGACCACTTTACTAGGTCGCTACACCCTAGAATAATTTATTATTATTTTATTATTACTATTAGTTATTATTATTTTATTATTATTATTTAGTATTAGTTATTCTATTATTGTATTATTATTATATTACTAGTAGTTGCTAGAACTTTCTGGTTGATTAGTAATCGCTTAGTCGCTTAGTCACTTAGACACTTAGTTGCTTAGTTACTTAGCCACTTAGTCACTTAGTTACTTAGTAATTAGTTACTTAGTAATCATTAGACATTAGTTGCTAAAACCTTCCGGTTGCTTAGTAATCACTTAGTCATTTAGTTACTTAGTTGCTTAGTCACTTAATCGCTTAGTCACTTGGCTGCTTAGCTGCTTAGCTCACAAATATATAAACCCTGTTAAATTCTCCAAGTGCGATTAAGCAACAAACACCCCTCTTCCTTTTAATATTGTAAACACATCTTGGAATTCTTTATGAACAGAAACCTAAGGATAGCCTTTTTTGTTATTACTTTAATAAATAGTTTTTGACTATAAACTGTATTGATACTCCCCTTCTAGAGTAATTCCTATAGGCAAGATTTATCTTCTCCTAGTAAAATAAAGTAAAGTTATTAGTATTATATTACTTTTCTTGAACTGCTTCAGAGAAGGGTATAGTTTCTTGACAATATCTAACAGAAGCTATATTTCTCTCTTGGACACTGCATATACCCATAAAGGATTCTCTGTGTTGTGTCATCGTTATAGTATAAAAATTAAGAAGGCTTTCATCTATAACAGTAAATCAAAACTATACATCTCTGGTTTATATGTTTGCCAGTATATACTTTTTTCTTCTAAAACCTGAAAATTCTAATAGCCTAGTTGGTTCATTTGGTTTCTCCTTAAAGACCAGCACATTTTCCTAGTTTTACAAGTTCTAGTTCTATTTTATAAGTCTAGTCTTTACAATAGCACTGTCAAAAGTTCAGGTTACCTCTCTACTTAGATCTTCCAAATGAGCTTCCATCTTTCTTCTATTGGTTTCTATGATTTACATGGCCATAAGGACTTATTATAGATTTGCACTGCCCAGTACCAGTTTGCATTCCTTCATGTAACCACAGATCTTGTTCCAAAAAGCAATGTCATATAACTGTTACACAAATGCCATGTGACCTGCCAGTCATGCTGGTGCAATATAGATTACAGGTGTCTTATTCCAACTAATTGTGAGAGACAGTTAACTATAACGCAGTAAGGATTTTCAAATTTTCTGTCAATACTGGGATTTGAACTCTGGATCTGCTACTTGGAAGTTAACAACTTGACCACTTTACTAGGTCACCACACCCCATTAGTTTTATTTATATTTAGTATCAATTTCTATATGTATTATGCTTTTTATTTAATTTTTATTTATTTTGATAATACATGTATAAGAATAAATTTAACTATAATATAGAACTTGTATAATATCTTAAAAGAATAATTAATAGAAATTAAAAATATATAAATAATAATATATTAGATATAATTTTATTTAAACTTATTAAAATTCAAATAAATTAAAATATACAGTATAACAAAAGATCCAGCATTAAATAATTCAAATCATATTATAATAAATAACTTATTATTTTATAATTAAATATTTGAAATCTTAAAAATAATAAATTATATTTTCTTTTAGAAAAATTAGATAAGCAAAAAGGATGTTGATAACTTTATATAAAGTCAACTTTAATTACAATTTAAACTAAAATTAAATCAAACCAATAGCTTAAAACTATAACTTAAGTTAAATTTAAAAATTACTAAAGTTATAAAAAAATAATTATTAGTATTAGTTTTAATTATAATTAATAGTTTGAATTATAATTTAATTATAATTATAACTTCATTAAGATAACCTATCTAAACTAATAACATCCTTATAAGCAAACTTAAAATAATAAACCAAAATCTAGAATTGATCAACTATATAATAAGTATAAGAAAAAAATAATTGAAAAAGAAAAATGAAAAAATTAAATAGATACATTTGTCAAAAAAAAATAACAAGAAAAAGAAACCAAAAAGAAAAAACAAATAAAAGTCCAAAAAAAATTATTAGACAAATAGAAAAGTTTAACTAATTCAACTTGTTTATACTTTTGAGCAAGTCAAATTAATTCAAGGTTTGATTTTATTAATCATACCGATACCAAAATGTTTTTTTAAATTTAGATAAAGCTAAATAACTTATAATGAGCTTTATTAAAACTTACCGTAAACATCTTGAGCGTTTCTTTTATTTAACCGTTTTTTGCATTTAGTACTTAAATATAGCCAGTTGATGTCGGTCCAATGGGTCCAACGAGCTTGGATATTGAAAGTTTACAACATCCAATACCCAATTAATTATTGGATTGGATTTATAAGAATGTTTACCTTATTGTCGCGAAATAACGGGCATGGGCGTTATTTAGAGTAATGGCCTGAATTAAGCTTAATTTAGGCCGAAATTCGTAATTTTACCTTTGCACGTTATTTCACGACAATATGGTATATTAAAATTTTAACTAGAACCCAACAAAATATTCAATAATATATGATCATTATTAGACTAAAGTTCGATTTTTTTGTCCAATGTACAACACTGCACATAGCCATTATGGCTAGTAGTAGTAATAAATATTAATGTAATGTCTTCGAAGCGAAGTATGTACGTACGTACCTCAGTTTTCGGTAGTTTTTATAAAATGAAAGATAATTAAATTTTGTGTTAGTGAAATGAAACGTATATTCCTAGAAAGTACTTTAAACTGTATAAACAAGTTACCCGGGCAATTGATATCAGCCAATTTACCTATGATGGTTTATTGGGGTGTTTACTTTTATGATTTACAAACATAATGCAGGCCATGCAGTAAATTGCTGACCTTTTTTGTGTTAAAAATTTAAACTTTAATTACTGAATGAGTAGATCCTGTACAAATAAAATTGTATTTGCTAAAATCCTCTTAACATATTTTTTAAAGTAACAATGCCTTTTTTTTTTACTTAAATGTTATTATGTAGATTTAATAAACAAATTTATACGCTTTTACTACATATTAAAATTTTAATTGATCACAAAAAAAAAAAAAAACTTATTACTTTGTAGATCCTATACATAATATGTATATAGTTAATATGTAGTTAATACTTAGTCCTACCAGACACAGATTTTCCTTTTGCGTATATGCAAACCAGGTCCCTATGTTACTCGGTGATGAGTATACTTAGATATAAATGTTTACCAAATATACCCGGGTAGAAAAATACGCGTAGTAATTAATTATATTGCTGCATTTTCCAATTCTCTGCAATATTTATTGGTTAGAATAAGGTTCAACCAATCAGAGTTGCAGACTTAGATAAACCTAATATAACCTCTATATACTATTCGGAGTCTTATTTTGATTTGAGTATGACAAGTCAGATTTTGGTAAGTGATAACAAGATCTTGACCTGTCCATTAATATGTTGCTAAGCAGTCTTTATAACCAACCAGCCTATATGGATCAACATAATTAAAAGTTAAATTGCGGTTAAAGAGTATGAAAAATTGTAAAGTTGATAGTATAATTGCCGGAGCTTTTTTATAGTTTCTTTTATGCTAAGTAAACCTTTTTTAGGTTTCTAACAAATATTGCAGAGTACGTTATTCCGGTTCTAATAGTGGTAGGATTATTAACAATTGGTTTAGTAGATCACGATTTATTTTCTTTGTGACTATATGATTTTTACATATTGTCAGAAACCAACATTATAAGAAAATATAATAGTAATTCACTGCCGATTTTTACTATGAAATTTATACAATTTAACTGCGATTACTGCTTAAATTATGAAATTATCAGGAGCATAAAGAGGAATAGAGCCTCCTATTAAAATTAGAAAAGAATGAGAAGTCTATGTCATTCAAAGCATATAGATTAAAAAGAAAATTATATCTCAGGGAAGAACCAAAAATACTTGGATTTTACGTGCGTACAAGTTTGAAATTCACGTCTCTTAATTTAGTTAAAGCGAGGACTAAGTTTAAAATATTTGAAGTTGATGCAGCTGTTTCTGAACAAATGAGGTCTGATGAATTGGAAAAAAATATGAGTTAAAAATTTGAAGTTAATAAAGCGTTGACATTTAACTTAAACAGATTGCTAAGTAGGGTTGTTAATGAAGTGAAGTGGAGTGGGTTGGGTTAAAATTATATGGAGCAAGCCTTGCTCCAACCCAACCCGGGTTAGATTTCAAATTAACACTCCGGGTTGTACGCCGGGTTGTACTCCAGGTTGGTGCTCCGAGTTAATGCTCCGGGTTGTAAGAATAATTTTGCTCCAGACCACTCCAACAGAAGCGACCGTTCAAATTCGTAGTTTATTCCGATATAGTTACACAATTAATAAGTCTTTTTTTATACGCTTTACAATACTACTTTTAAAAGCTCGGGTAGCCTAACTTTCTATGAAACGAAGGTAAATTTAACGGATGAATTCATGTCTTCGCTTCGCCTTATAACAATTCTTTGAATCCTCGTGAATCCCACTGTTTTTTCTTTTTACAATCATCATTACAATTTTATATGAGTATCATCAAGGGAAAACCTGTCATCAGACTTCAATTCTATTTCGTACCGGATACAATCCCTAACAAACTAGACTATATCTGGTACAAATATCATTGAAAGCATGGTGACAGGTTTCCCTTGATGGCACTCATAAAATCGCCTATCCTAGCTTTCTGAATGATATTACTAAGCTGTTCGACATTCCTATTATATTCGGATAATAAATGGATTTGCAATATGTTTAAAAGAACTCTAATGCATTTATCAAAGAAAAAAATTGTAAAAACCGAAATAACCTGCTCATGACAATGACATGGCATAAGATGCAAAAATGAAATACGGAGCTTTTTTAATTTCATCAAATAAATTATTATTTGAGTGAAGTTAATATTCTAATGCGACTGGTTATTTCAATGATCGATGAAAATTCAGAGCAACCCGGGTTCGCTCCAGGTCACGAGTAACCCGGGTTATAAGAAATAACCTTGTTCCAGGTAACTATATAATTCCACTCCAACCTTAAAATGGAGTATAACCCGGGTTGCTCCGGAGTACGTTGCTCCATTAACAACCCTATTGCTAAGGCATGGTTTTGTATATCCTAGTGAATTATCAATTAATTTATATTAAAATTAATTATAAAGCTTTTGTTTAGTAGGTGATGTATTACTCTAGATATCGTCATCACCCTGTCGATTGAATGCGATGGAGATAATTGATGCAGACTGAAACACAATGTAATATCGATTGCAACCAACCAAGTGAGTATTATAGCTGCTTTCTAAAAGGTGTGAACAGACGCAGATCACCATATCTCGAGAAATTCACCAAATTTCCTAGATTTCCAGAATTTTCAAAGCCAGTGCCATAGCGGTTTGCAAAAGGTGACCTCATAACGATAGTGGAGAATTCGAAGACTCTAGATTTTCTATCAATCATATATTCGATCAGTGGTATCTATTAATGATGAGAATGGCTCGGCTCGGCTCATGGTTAACACTGATCAAGCCGAGCCGACCTTTCAGTTCATCAGTCATAGCCAAGAATTGAATTTATATAATAACTTCTTTTTTTTTTTTTTTACAAAAATATACCATCATTTATAAAACTGTACGGTAGAAGGCTCTTCACAGACGAAGCTTTAAGTACTACTCCATATAAGTATACTTCACTTAGAGACAGAAAGATAATAATTCAATTATTCTTGATCTGAACTAATTCTAGCATTCTGTGTTACTATATAAGTGTTGTATAATGAAAACCTGTAACAGATCATAGTAAATCATAAATACAGTTACAGGTTTTCACTTTGTAACACTTATATACAATCAAATCGATGATTGAAAGTCTAACTTTATATGTTTTATAATAGCTTAATAAAAATAATATGACTGTAGCAAGATATATATATTACCGTTACATATGTTAAGTTTATGTAAGGTAATACTGTATGTACACATGACCATTATCAAATTTGCTGCTGTTCAGCCTAATAAAATAAACAAATACAAAAAGAAAGTTTTCACAGGTTGAAATAAACTATATCAGATAAATCTTATAAATATCATGTCCTGATTTATATAGCGCATATCGTAACAACAACAGACATATTAGGTCTGATAGAGCTATCAGTAAAATATCAATTACATTAGAGTTATTGTATATTTGATAGCTTGCTGACTCTATCAGTTTCTGCTCCGCATATACTACGTATACATTTATTTGATATACTTTATTTCAATCTGCGGTTATAGATTATAGAGCTCTACTATAGAAATGTATCTTTACTCCGATAAAATTTTCTATATGCATCTTTTTATTATGCTTTTTTTTTTTTTAAAAAAAAAAAATTAAATAAAAAAGGTATCTTATGTATGAATAATGTAAATTTAAAATTGGAAATTTTAGCCATTCATGCGAAAGCCCTCATGTGAGTGTCTGAAATTCATGGTTATTGATTGAGATTACCATATAAGAAAATTTCATTAGATTCTTTATTCAAATAGAATAAAAGTTCTACTTTTCTATCACTATTGTTTCAGGCATTGTAACAGATGTAAACACAATGCACTTGATCTCATCCATCAGATATCTATACATCAAATTTATAAAGGATTTAATATATATATAACAATTTTATATAAATTATATTGATATGAGTGCCGCAAAGCAAGCAACCGGATCCGCCTTCCTGCCTTTAATGATTTTTTTTTATATTATCACATCAGAATTTCATGTGGGGTACACATCTTACTATTATTATCATTTGGGAACATTTTAAAGGACCAATAAGCCCATACATCATGAAGTGTTAAATTCGAAATTCAATAATTATGGGTTTTCACTTTGCGTATACTCATATTATATACAAACTTTATATAATTAAAAATAGTGCCAATTTTATACAAAACTCGTACATGAAGTCCACCAAATCCCTACTGTAAAAACTTGGGAAATAAGCACCACACACATTATATCCTACTTATTTCAATCTTAGATTAGTACGAGATAATGTTAAAACTGAAATACTTTCGGAAGTGTTATAATTAAAGTTGCTGGTGCATGTATAATTTTAATGATGCGCCATTAAAATTTTTTATAGTATTTTTAATGGTGCACCATGGTAAACCAGTTTTGCACCAAAAACCCTAGTCATAATAGTTTCTACACTACGTATAGCCATGACCCTGTGTTAAACGGTTTATTCATTAGTAATTTCACTAGTAATTTCATTAGTAATTGTTACTTTTTTGTTATGTCATTTATCACGTCACGTAATAAATTATATAATAAAAAGATGCGGCAATTACCAATGATACCTCTATAATCACGTTGTTTTACACAAAAAAGATTTGATTATAAAAAATTTTACAGTAATAGTAATGTGATCTTATAGTTTTTTTTAATAATAAATATATATTGTCAATAATTTTTTAAAAAATGGCGTTTATAAAGAGGGTGTGACTATATAGGAGGTGACTGTAGAGGAGGACGGTTGTAGCCCACTCATTGAATAAAAATGTCAATAAAATGTATGAGTCAGATTTCAAGATCAGATGTAACATGACACGGCAGGAAAATTCCAAGAAAATGTTCTCTTTATCCTTGAACGATTTTAAAATTTCCCAACCCAATATAAATGCTCACCTTAACATCAATGAACTTTAAACCTATTTTGTCTCGTCTTATCTGACACACACTTCAGGCGTGTATAATATTTTGCTATAATAGACATTGTCGTTGGTATTGCTTAATTCCGACCAAACTCCGATGTATTCTGACCCGGAGTTTCGGGATTTCCCGTAACCCAAAGTTTGGAGCATGTTTGAAGCGTGTTTTGATTGGTCAATCAGAAAAAAAATCAGATTAGTTAATTTTATCGTTACAGATTAATGTCGTTATCTTATCGCATTATATATTTGATCACGCGTAATTTGAAACTTTTACCTAAAAGAAACTCTAATTGTATTTTGTATTAAAAAGTAAAGTAATATAATACATTTACCACTCCTAGTAAAGTTAATAAAGTTAGTATGAAGTGAGATCTCCAATTATTTTATTTATTTTATAGAATTATGCTTTCGATAATGAATCTCTGAAACTTTTTGGCGACAATAACCGTCGGTATTCTATCGTTATTGTAATAATACAAAAAGGTTGTGTAACCGTAATTTTATTTCTGCATGTGATACACGCCCAAATAAGGAAAGGAACACCTAGATGCGTAAATAGCGAGCGAGAGGCCACAGGAATGAATAATCATTATATGTAGATCCATTCCTGTCCTTTTTAATAAATTAATATATCAAGGCAGGTTTAAATGATAGTTTCGTTTTGTTTTGAATATGTGTTGGGTTGATTCGGGAGAACCACAATTTACTCTTTCCGATTGATTGGGTTCCTGGTTTTTTTTTGCTTGTATCACCGAGTGAGCCATGATCATGTGACCATGTCCTGTAATGATTACTTGCTGTAGTAACCAACTTAAAAACTAGCCGATTTTAGGTACCTCCAAATAAAAGCCACCGGAATGCTTTATTGAAACTGCATGCTTGCATACGTATATTAAATAGTGATTTTTTTAAAGTCGCTGCATATTTTAGCTTCCCAGATCAAGTTAATATGAAAGAAATTAGCAATCAATAAACTCTGAATTGGGTTTTAAGCAAATTCAATAGTTTTTAGTACAATTGTTTTGTTTAGTTATCAAAGAAAACAATTGCATACGGATATATATATCTTTCAGTATCGATGTCATATGAAGATCACAAACAATGATTGGCGTAAACAACCATTCCTACGGAAATATAGTTTCTTTCAAATTATTCTATATATTTTATACAAAGTCATTAGGGAAAGTGGTTAAAAATGAAAAACATGGAATCTGGATAAGGAAAAAAAAAATAATAAAATGGATGTAGTACCTTTTATAACCATCTTTAGTAAATTCTATGGACATTTGTACATATGAAGTTTGCTTACTTTAGGAGCGCGTAAGATTGTATCTTGAGTATTAACATTCTACGGAAAAATACAATTAAGTACTTTGCCCTCTGAAGATTTTATGAGTAATTTTCCGTATATGAAAAAGTTGAAGATATATGAAGTGAAAGTAATTTGATGTGATGATATTATAGTCATATTATGTGATATAAGAATTATATTCGTTAGTTTCACAGTAAACCTGAGTTTGATACATCAACTAATAAAGCAAACGCGTCATACATTACCCAGTGCCAGAGTTTACTTACTTAGTACGCGTCTTCGTTATAAAAATTAAACTTGTTAACTTTTTTCAGGTGAATGTTACATAAATATAATGCGCGTTTTTGTTTTAAGTTTAGCGTCCATCTGAGCCCAACTATTTTGTTACATTATGTTTGTTCATTATGTGATAAAATCAATCAACAGATCAATATTTTGGCCAATCGTTGCTATTTAGTTAGGTAATTAGTATATGTACATACTTGATTTTACTTTGATGATAAACATAAAAGTAAGTTATTATAAAAATATATATCACTACAAAAAAGAAAAAAAAAGGTGCCTTTTTTTGTCATACGATTCAAATTACATAATCATTCTAATTGTGGATATCAGGGAATCATTCCGTTATCCAAAAAAATTTGTATATAAAGAAATAATTCTTGAATGTGGTTTTTTTTTCTTGACAGAAAAATCTGCTCCAATTCTAAATCCTTTAAATCTTAAACCCTTAAGCTCTTTTCGACAAACCTCACATAAAATGATGAATGTCCCAATGATGAGTATCTCAGAAATTGAGCAGCTCAATGCGGAAGAGATTGCAAGAAATCATATTAAAGATGGAAAAAGCATGAACTCCTTCTTCTTGTATAGACGAGAATATACAAAGCGAGAAATAGGAAAGGGTCAAAAGGTTAGAATGATAGATATATCTAAGCACGCTGCTAAGGCGTGGAAAAATGAGAAGCCAAAATATAAGAGAGCCTACGCAAAAGTTTCAAAAAAAGTAGATGAACTCTTACAAAGGAAAAGACAAAAAAATCAAAAATACCAAATAATATACGATGATTTCATGACCAAGATTCAGCCTATTTCACATTATGAATCAGTATCTATCCCCGAAGAAGGCTTTTTTTTACCTCCGCCGCCGGCTTTAGATCATCCATCACCTTCGCAAGATGAAATAATTTATTCCTTGAATGTAGATGACATCACTCTCTTTTATTTAACCCCGATGTTTCCGTTACCGTCAAATTATTTCTCTCCTCTTTAAAACCTATAAATTTACATGCTTAGCTTAACCTATTCTCGTTTTATATGTGAATTATGAAAAACGTAAGCTTTAAGCTTTATGTATGGGGGATTATTAAATAAAATATTATGATTTAAGTGCCCGATGATATCCGGGAAAAAAATAAAACTATGATTTTAATACGAATAACATATATATATATATTATTTATTTATATATATATATCCACTTTTCATTTTAAAATTATGTTTAAAATGTCACGAATTATCGTACACATTATACATAAAAATATTGTCTAAATTATATTTTATACATTATATAATAAATATTTTATTTGGTTAAATTATTTTTTTAATGTGACTGTATTGCTTTTAATTAACGTTAAGAAGTTAGAAGTTAATCAGGCTGTTCGAAAACAGCCATTAAATAAAGTAGAATGGTACGGTAGTACAGGTTCAGGTAATAATGATCATATGTACAATTAACATAGACTTATAGTATTTGTTATAAGTAATCCTTTTTTGATGGTTAAGGTTAGGACAAGTACTGGTATTATCTCTTTTTTATATTAGGATAAAATACAAATTATGAGGAAAAATAAACATTGATTTGAAGAAATATTTTCTTTACAAATTGTATGTACAGTACTATCAATTTCTGTATCGCATTAAATGTATTCTTCAAAAAAAGAATGATCATCACCAAAAAAAGAATTTACACATGTACATAATATGCCTGTGTGTAGTGAAATTAAATATTATTATTCACTCAGCTCTAAATAATTTTATAAAATTCAGGAATTCGTTATTTTATTTTCGCATGAACGCATGCACCTTGTGCCAATTACATTTTCGTTTATTAAATATTTACTTTCAATTGTATTAGATCATGATTCTTAATAGGTAACATCTATTTCTCCTGTTTATTCAGATTAAGAAATTGCATAAAGCATATAACTGGAAGGATTTATACATAGGTATATGATTCTTTTTTCTTTACGCGCCTTTTTTTTTTAAATAAATCTTTTTCGGAAAAAATATTTGAAACTTTTTTAAAACTTTTAAACTTTTTTTTTAGGATTTTTTTTTTACTTTTTAAATTTTTTTTTATAAAAATTTTTTTCTTAAATAAAAACAAGCCAAAAAAAACTTACAAAATTTCATAAAATAAGCATATAAGAAAAGAAAAGACAGGTTTAGCTTATAAAAAAAAAAGAAAAGAAAAGAAAAGAAAAGAAAAGAAATTTATTGCTGCCACCATGATGTGTCATTACATAAAATTTCGAACATTCTGTCATCGTAAAAATATTGGCCGTCGAAGTATTGCATGTCGAACATAGATTGATCGTTATTGGCGTTACAAACTTGTGGTTGTAAGAATTGTGGATTACTTTGATCGATATTCGACACTTGAGCTTTATTTTTATTACAATTGCGTCGTTTTCGAGTTTTCTTTGCGTTCTTTTGATTATTATTTTGTTTTTGTGAAGCATCCGGGTAGGCCAAGGATTTTATTCTAGCTTCATTTAATTTTTCTTCAACCTCTTCCGCAATCCTTTTATATGCACTTTTAACTTGTTCAGATTCATTTTTCCAATGTTCGCTGACTAATTTGGACACATAAGTCATTTGAAATCGTTGATTTAAAAGTGCAAGTTGGTCAAAAAATGCTTTTCTATAAATAAAAAAAGCATTTGGACTCTTTGACCGAATTTTTGACGGTGGGCGTCTTATAATGATATCATGCGCAGTGATAGTAGGTGGAAAGGGAAGGTGGATTAAAGGTGGCTCCGCTAACATGGTCGTAAAATAACAATTTAATTCTAAATTGGGGTACTCTGCCATTTTTTTTTCTTTTTTTGTTAAAGGCGATAAAAATAAAAATAAAAGAAAAAAAAAAAGCGAAATTAAAAACGTAAACGTATGGAGCCAGAGATCGAGTCCAAGTGAGTTTGAGAAGGAATATTCACTCATTTTATAATTTACGACAATGCCATGATTTTGATATAATCAAGGGGTCAGCATATATATTGCATCTGCATATATACATTCACGTGATCTAATATTAAGATCTATCTGTTTTTTTTTTTAATATCAGATATGCATGAAATAAACCAATATCACAACTGCATCCAATATTAGTACTAAAAATACGCGTGTTATAAATATTTTAAAGACCATACATATATATATGTATACACATATATATATTACCTTAATTTAATAATAGTAGATTATCGAACAATTACAAATGCAAGCCACCACGCACCTTTTTTTTGCATATCTATTGTTTTCCCTAAATTACAGTCTTAGGATCAAGTAAATATTCACACAAGACTTATAAAAATAACATTTAATAAAGCCAAATGCATTTTTTTTTTCGATTAAGCATGGTATTTTTCACAAGTAGACTTGCACGACATCAGAATATACAATTCGACAGTTTAAACATTATTGAAAGTAGATTTTTAAAACTAATGAAAAGGAATTCATAGATGTATGTAGATACTTACAGATATGTATTTTGCAACATCAAATAAACTTTTAACGTTTAGGAATTTTTTTTTATTTTACACAAAATGCTTTTAAAAGTAAGAAAAAGAACAAAGAAAACAGTATATAACAAAGAGCTTTACTCATTTTGAATCAAAGTTACGCGTTTTAGTAAAAAAAAAACCTGTTAGCACATAGATAGACATCTGTAAGATAACACCCAAACACAGATTATTTTTAGTAACTCATTTTATTTAGAATGGATTTAATATAATAATAATAATTACGTATCGGTGATATTTTCTTAATCGTAACGCGGCAGATGTCTTATTTGGAGAGGCAGTGTCACGGTTTAACAGAGAAATAAGGATAAGATCAGTTAAAAATTGGATAGAACAAGTATTACAATCAAATAACATTTCTGACATGTTCAAAGTTAGTTTAGATTGAATCTTTTTGATTCTTTTTTTGTTTTGTTGAACTTAAACAATAACCGATCCATTTCAATCGAAAATTCGAATTTAAAAATTGTTCGCTTGAACAGAAAAATTAAGAAAGTATACATATCAATTTTTTTAGTTATCTATATTTGTACATAACGCGTGAATTTTATTTATGTTTAGGATCTTCATAATATTTGTACTGTAGATCAAATGAGTGAACACGTAAATCGTCACAACAATAAAAAAGCATTTATTCCATTTATTAGGAATTTATAATTTACCGTACAAAGTTCTATGTAATAATAATTTTTTAGCATATAATCTATTCACTTATTTATGAAGTTAAACCCTTTCATCTCCGAACTCCGAAATATTAACTACAATTGTCATGTATGCAGACAAATTATCACGAGAAATTCCCTACCAGTTATCTATTGTGAACATTGATACACGGAATTATCTTGAATTTCAAACTCCATAGTGATAGTAATGCCGCCATAAGGGATAGATGCAGATTTATTTTCATAGACAGAAGTTCGTCTGATTGGCTAATAAATTCAATTTAATTTTATATTATTTATACATTTTAGAGTACTTTTTTTTAAAAAAAAAACGAAAACCAACCAGAATAAAGTAAAAAAAAAACATCTAGAAGGTTTCATTAGAGCTGTAGGACTCCATAGTCAAAAATAAGATCTAATTCTCATCCGTTTAAAAAAGTTAGTATAGTAATAACTTCTCAAAACCCAATAAAATCAATTTATTACTAAGCTAATTTTTTTAAATAAATAAGAATTAGATTTTATTTTTGATTATAGAGTTCTACAGCTCTAATAAAACCTTCTATATGGTTTTTTTTTACTTTATTATAGTTGGTATTCATTTTTTTAAAAAGTACTCTAAACTGTATAAATAATGTAAAATTAAATTAAATTTATTAGCCAATTAAATGAACTTCTGTCTATGAATGCTTATATAAGCATGTTATTAATTCAAGACATGCCTATTATGCTTATGAGCATGCTTATCTATAATTATGTAATCAAAATCTATTACTAGTCACATAGTACAGATCAACTCTGATTGGTTAATCATTAAATGTATAGTTACATATATACTGTATATAACAACTAACTTCAAACAAATTGTTTGTTATAAAACAAATTGTTAAAAAATATAACATATATATAAATTTTAAAACTATATTTTATATTTTATAACTTAAGAAAATCTAGAAGTTAGCAACAAAATACACTTTTGTTTTATAAGTTAAAATAATTTAGTATATAGAAGAGAGTTAACATTCTTAAAAAATAATTAGTAACTTAAAATATTCTATTTAAAAATAAATATTTTACTATTAATTATTATAAAATCTATATATAAATATTATATTAAATATTAAAAATAATTATCTTAGTATCATAGTTAGATTGTCATTCTTTAAGTAGCAGATTTAATATTCAAATTTTATTTATAATGAAATTTAGAAATTAATTTATATTACAGTAACTGTTTTCTGTTAATTAGTTGATCTTATATGACTGTAATTTAAATATATTAAGTTAAATTTTATTTATTATTAGAAACTTAGAATATTTATACAAAATATACTATTATATATATATAGAGAAATGTTCTAACTAGTGTTATATAAAACTTTAATACAAACTTATAATAAAACTATTAAGTATAAAATATTAAAAAACTGAAAAGTTAGAAACTCATTTAAAAATTTCTAAATAAAAAGATAATATAAACTTTTAATGATATTATTGAAGCCTATAAACTATTTTTAAAAAAACAGATTAGATAAACTAAATACAAAATATATATAATGAAGCATATAACCAACTAAGTTATTAATTCATTAAAAAAAAAAATACAGAAATATATCATACTGAATCATCTAAATTAATAGTCTAATTAAAGTCTATTAGTTCTAAATAGCAGTTAGTAGAGAATAATAAAAAAGATATTAAAAAGATAAATATAAAGGTTTTAGTAAACTTTACAAAAGTAACAATAGTATAATATAGTAGTTTAACAGATAATTTTTATAACTGCAAGTATTAGATAACTATAATGTGTTGTATAAAATTATATTAGCTATATATAAAACATAACAAACTCTAATAAGCTTTTTGTTAAGAATAAAGTAGTTTTAAGAGTACTGATAAATATTAGAAACTTAGATAGTTAGTATTTTAAAGATGTTCTTATAATACAAGAGAATTGTAAAGGTTTTATGAAAATTTAGCAACTCTCCTCTGTAGATCTCTTAACCAAAATTTACAGAAAGCAAAGAACACAAATAACATCGAAATATATAAGTAAACAGCATTTAGAGCAATAAGAAAAAAGATAGAAGATCATTGGAATACAATCAACCAAGTTAAAAACAAGAAATAAACTAGAGCAGCAACAAGCAATAGCAGGAAAATAAAGCTTTAATGAAATTTTAATAAGCAAAATTAATATATAAATATAGAACAGAATAGGGTAAATAAACCTATACAAGGTTTTTAAAAGAAAGTTCTAGTACAAAGAAATACAAGCTTAGTAGCAACACAACAAAATAAATATAGATCTCTTGAACAAGATTTTAGTTAGTTTAACCTTGGTATAAAAGTTTTATAAAAATCCTTTATCATTTTTTAAAAAAGTGAAAAATTACCTTAAACCCTGAAACAATTAGTTAGTACACATGATCAGTTGACAACAAAACAACAACAAACACAACATATTACACGTACAACAATCTTATCCTAATTAGGAAACAACAAATAGGAATCTTTACATACATTACTAAACAGATGAATAAACAACAAACTAATATAGAAATGGAAGTATAGTGCAGGCTAGGCCTTCTAGGTAATACAAAACTAATTCAACATATAAGAGTTTTCAGAGATAGAAATAGAAGATACATAGATAGCAGAATATTAGATGAAATTTTATTGAAGTGAATAGATAATCCAAGCAATGTAAAATATATAGCAAAAGATCTTGCAATATACGATTCAAAAAACATTACAATAGGTGATGTACTTTTTTATGGGCAAGTACTCAAAGCACTCAAAAAAGCAGAAACCTTTTCAGTAACAAGAAACACAATAGAAGAATGGGCAGGTAAGCTTCTAGTAGTAGATCAAAACTCGAAATCATTTAATTACTTGTTGAGTATGAAGAGTGAAGAAATATTAAAAGAGGAAGCAAAGATGAAAGGAATAGAAAAAAGTGAAAACACTGAAAACATGGATATAGTTTATATTGAAAAAAAGAGACAACAATATGAAATTAATAGCAGTAAAGAAGACAACACAAATCTAAATGCAGTCATTGACCAAATACAAGATCTTAGCATATCAACATTATCATACTGAGAACCAGCAAAATATTTAAATGAAGGGACTAAAAAGTTAGCAAGAATAGCAGGTGTAAACAAAAATAGCACAGAAGATAAGAAAGCTAAAAAGAGCCAAGAAAGTGCAGCAGATTTTTCATGACAAATAAGAAAAGGTGTAACAGTAGATCAAGATCAAGAAAGTACAGAGTTAACTGAAGAAAATAATGAAATACCTATACTAGTAGACACAATAGAACATAACCAATGGTCCCCAATGAATTGGATATATGACAAAAGCAGATCATTCAAAGCAAATATGCTGACATATACAATACTAGGTGCAAATAAAGACGAAAGATTAAAATATACACAATGGAGCCTATGTGGCAATCATCACATCAAAATGATTAAAGAGGTTTTTAAAAATGGAAACAGTTGGATTGAGGTAGATTTCGATTGCAAATTTAGTAGGGATGCAGCAATAGATAGAATTAAAGAAAAAGAAGAAGACTGGCTAAAACTTATTTCAGAAGAAACGAAAAGCCAAGAA